TTCCTGTTTAGCTTCTGAGTATAGATGAAAGCTCTGCCCCCATCGACCCCAACACCCCATTCTCTGTCTAAGCCCAGAAGGCAGGATGGGGTTTGTCACTTCTATCTGCCGCAAGAGAAATGTGGAATTTAGCCACAGCAGGGTCCTTGCGCTGTGTAAGGCTCTCTATGGTTCTCTACTGCCGTTGACAGAAGCGCCCGATCGAGAGCACCCAGCAAGGCAACGCAGGGGCCTTTCGCAAGCCTCAGGACACCCATAATAGTTGCTGCCGTTTGTTGAGCAGCTAAATAAATACCCTTTTAACCGTATCATTGATTTCCGAGTAACTTATTTAACCATCACATGTTTTTATGATTCCCTATGTAACAGGTGAGAAAAAAGGAGGCGAGCAAATCAACACCAGTTGCTTAGGACCGTCAGACAGGAACTGGCGAAGCCAGAATTTGAGCCAAGGGGGTCACGCTCTGGAGCCCCCACCCCCACCAGCCTCCCTCTCTCTCCTCTCCTCCCCTCTCCTCTTTTCTCTCTCCCTCACTTCTCTTCCCTCTCCCCTCTCCCTTCTCCCCCCTCCACTCTTTCCTCCTCCCTCTCTTTTCCTCTCTCTTTCTCTCCCCTACATCCTCCACGCCCAGCCTATAGGTTCCCACATCAGATCCCTGGGACAAAGCTTCGCATCTGAAATTTTAAAAGCTTCAGTTCACTACCATGAGGGTCCCCGGGTAGGAAACACTGCCACACTCACCCACTTTGCTGGCGGGAGAGCTGGATGATGATTCGGCAACAGCCTCCCAAGCCACAAATGTGCAATGGCCTCGGATCCAGCAAATCGGCGGCTGGAGACACCCGAAAAGCCCATCCACTGAGAACAGGTTCGAAATGTATGATGTGTTTATACAATGGAATGCTACACAGCTGTGAATGAATGCATGAATGAGTGAATGAATGAATGAATGAATGTCAGGAAGCTTGCTATGTCCTTCAATGGAAAGATCGCCAAGCTATGTTGCGAAGTAAAAAACAGGAAGAAGCACAGCGATGTCAAACACAGCATAGGGAATATAGTTGATACTATTGTAATAACATTGTAATAATATTGTAATAATATTGTGTGGTGCCAAGTGGGTACTAGTCTTATCGGGCGGGTCGCTTCTTAAATTATATCATTATCTAACCACTATGCTATACACCCAAAACTAATATAAAATAATACTAAATGTCAACTGTAATCGAAAAAGAAGAAGAATGGGAAGAAGCAGAACAATGCTACTTCTTTCTTCAACGTGGAAGGGAAGAGTAAGAAAATATATTCATATTCGCTCGATTACACCAGCTTCTAGGGGATTCTTTTGGATCGAGAAGTTGGAAAACCATGGTGTCAAGAAACTCCAACAGGCCCAATGGAAATATCCATTTACTTATTTATTCTTTCAATAGCTATTTCAATCTTCGAGTGAAGAAAAACGTCTAGAACTGGCCCCAACTCCAAAGGAACTGAGAGTCTTGACGGAGACCCAGAGAAGCAAGCAGAGAATCCAACACAAAATTTGCTGATTCTTCCAAATCTGCTGTTCCCATGATCATCTCAGTTTCAGTCAAAGGGGCTTCCTCCTCCCCTCGGGTCAGAGCCTTGGGGTCGTTGGAGAGAAATAAGTTCCTCTCACGGCCCACATCCAATCCATCAGCAAAGCCCTGGGTCTCTACCCTCAAAGAACACTGGGATCCAATCACTTTTTCTCACCTGCCTTCCACCACCCTGAAATGAGCCTCCATCGCCTCTCGCCCAGACCACTGCAGTCTCTTCCCCTACTAACTTCAACCTTACCCCCATAGGGCCTGTTCCCCACACGGCCATTAAAATGTAAATAGCTCTCCATGGCCTACTATTAAAATGTAAATAGCTCTCCATGGCCTACTAGGCCATGTAGTAACATCTGGCCCCTTCATACCTCTTTGTACTATTCCTTATACCCCCCGTCACTCT